CTTCCATCCTATTTTTATTTCTTTTTTCTTTCTAAGTATTCTGTGATTCAGGAGCATCACAGGGAAAGAAAATTAAATTTAAGGGGAGAAGTACATTGTATACTCAGGTTTTTTGGAGAAAAATAGAGCCAACTTCTAGTTGTTGGAATTATAACAGCAACAAGGTAAGGAGGCTTTTGATGAAATAATACTTATCTTCAGACTCACCTGGTTTCTAGGTAAGACCCTGGGAGGGAAGAGGCACACCTTGTTTGAGTTAGTGTTTCCAGCACTTGCTAGGTGTCTACCATTCATTGGATAAATGATGGGGTCATAGGTGATGGGCGCGGCCAGGCCAATGAAAAAAGCCTGTGACATGGAGCCAGGTAAGCCTGGGTTTGAGTTCTGGCTCTGCTGCCTCCTTGCCTGTGACACCTGACATGTTATTTTACCTATTGTAACTGTGACTTCTCTACTGAAAAGTGGATATACTTACTTACTGTTGAGATTTCAAGGAGCCAGTACCAACCTATGTTTCTCTTCTGAGTTCTGAACGCACTGTGAGAGTGATGGCAGTTGAATTATCAGCTTAATTACTGAGACAGACAGCTAGAGAGATATGGCTTAAGTCCATGTGCAATGGTCTTGCTAGTCGTCCTGCCCCAAGTGGAAATGACAGGAGTGGGAATGCAGCTTCCCTCAGAAGTTTAGGGAACCCATCTGGGGAGGGAGAGAAAGTGTTCCCAAGCAACCATGCCAGCCTGAACCTTTCCTGGGCTAAATGTTTTAGTACCTACAGTTTAATCTGCTAGATTAGATTAGGCTCTGGCTGATTTCCTCATTTAAGCACCAGGAAGAAGTCCAAAGAGAAATGGCACTATTTATTTATTTGTTTGTTAATTAATTAATTAATTAATTTATTTTTAAAGTATATTTTATTGATTATGCTATTACAGTTGTCCCAGTGTTTTTCAACTTTTTATCCCCCTCTGCCCTTTACCCCCCACCATCCAGCATTCCACCACCCCCCCTTAGTTTATGTCCATGGGTTGTATATGTAAATTCTTTGGCTTCTCCACTTCCCATACTATTTTTAACCTCCCCCTGTCTATTTTGTGCCTACCTATTATGCTTCTTATTCCCTCCATTCTCCCCCTCCCCACTGACAATCCTCCATGTGATCTCCATTTCTGCGATTCTGTCCTTGATCTAGTTGTTTGCTTAGTATTGTTTTTTAGGTTCAGTTGTTGATAGTTATGAGTTTGTTGTCATTTTGCTATTCATAGTTTTTGATCTTCTTCTATGTCTTAGATAAGTCCCTTGAATATTTCATATAATTAGGGCTTGATGACGATGAAGTCCTTTAACTTGACCTTATCTGGGAAGCACTTTACCTGCCCTTCCATTCTAAATGGTAGCTTTGCTGGATAGTGTAATCTTGGATGTAGGTCCTTGCCTTGCATGACTTCGAACACTTCTTTCCATCCCCTTCTTGCCTGTAAAGTTTCTTTTGAGAAATCAGCTGATTGTCTCATTAAAGAGAAGGAGAGAATCTTAAAAGCATCAAGAGGAAAGGAGACAGTTACATGAGAAATGGCACTATTTAAAAGAGGCTGTTGCATATCATTTGAGAGTCAGGAACAGACTTATTCTAACTACTTGGAAAAGTTTATAAGATTCCTGAAACCTTTGTCTTTCCACCCCTTTTTGCTATTTTTATTGCTTTCCTGTAATGATCAGCCAGAAAGCTCTTAAAATGGAAAAGATCTGTGTGCATATTTTTAGTGGCAACAAAGAAAATAGCAATGAAGTAACTATTCCTACCAAGTGGGTGAGGAACCCACGAGTGGGCAGTGGGCAGTGGGCAGTAGTGTCCTGCAGCCTGTGTGTCAGGAGTCTGTGGAAGGAGAAAAGAAATGATGGAGTTGGCAGAGTGGATCTGGGGGTGGGGGCAGCATATGGGGAGTGAAGCCAGGGCAGAAAAACAACCATGGGTTCTTAATAAGCAAGAGAACCACAGACAGGTTTCCTGTGTGCAGCCAGATTAAATTAACACTTACAACAGCCAAGACAATTTTTGAATGTTTTCTAATTTAGAAACAAAACCAAGAGCTCTTTCAGCAAGTTATTTTAACATTACAGATTATTTATTTTTGGTTAGATTCTTGGATCAAGTGAATTAAATATGGTTGAAGTTATTCATAAATCTTAGCTATCAGAAAGTGAAGAGGGCCCTGGCTGGTGTGGCTCAGTGGGTTGAACGCTGACCTGAGAATTGAAGGGTCACTGGTTCAATTCCTGGTCAGGGCACATGCCTGGGTTGTGGACCAGGTCCCCAATGGTGGGTACTCGAGAGGCAACCACACATTGATGTCTCTCTCCCTCTCTTTCTCCCTCCCTTTCTCCCTCCCTTCCCCTCTCTAAAAATAAATAAGTAAAATCTTTTTAAAAAGTTTTTACTTTTAAAGAGGATTTGTGAGTTGTTTGGTAATGTTCACATGTATACTGGTTTTTCCTAGGTCTTTTGACTGCTGGTATTTCACCTTAAGAGTAGCAGTTAAGGATGGGAAAACATTGCCCCCCAACCGTGGCTTAGAACCCACTGAAACTGGTGGGGTAGACATTTTACCCCAATATAAACCTTTTAGTGATGGAGCTAATTTACTCTTTTCAGACTGTGACATCTTCTTTATGAGAGAAGACATAGAAAGTCATCTTGAGCGTGAACTAACTTCTAAAATCAACATCTTGGTGAATTTCAGGTTAAATGAGTCATAAGTCTTTGGACGAAGATTTTCTGCTTTAAAAAGAGAAAGCACTTGGAAAAAATGTCAGTTTGGTTTTATTAAAATGGAAGTATTTGAAAAATAGGCTTCACTAGTGAGCCTATCATATAACAAGTTTCTGCACACATTTCTGTAGTCCCTTCTGTGAGTCTGCAGAGCTGCGGTCCCCACGGGCCAAGTCTTAACCATCGTCAGAAGCATTAGCCTCCATAATCCTTCCCCAGAATGATATATATTGTTAAACAACGCACAAGGTGGAAATAAATATTTTCACAATAGTTTGAAGGCAATGTCATTTACTTTGAAACTGTATTCTTAAAACTACTTCTCCCAGATGAAAGCTGAAGTTAGCATTATTTGCCTGATAGAAAAAAAGGGTCTCTTTTTACTCTGACCCTTTAAGACTTGACAGTGTCATGGCAGGCAGCTCGCAGTCTAATTTATATAGAGTAACGGTACAGTCAAACTTTTATATTTGATTTTAACGCATAGTGACTACTTACTAGCTGTGTTCCTGGTTGTATGGCTTCATTTTTTGACAGTCGAGTACACCCCTGGCTCCTGTGGAAATATCCCAGTCTCTGTGCTATCGATCCTAAAATCTTTATCGTCTTCTCTGCCCTGCTAACGTTAGCTGGGTATTGAAGGATTTCCCTGGGTGTCTGCACCTGTGTGTGCCTCCAGCACGCCAAACCTATCATGTCCCAGTTTTAAGTACCTTTGTCTTTTCTGGCTGCTCTTCCTTCCCCTGTGTTTCCTCTTCAGTGGCTGGCACCATCTCCCCAGTGAGGGCCTCTGGTCATCCTAGAGCCTTCCTTTCACTCACCACACCGACTCACTGGCCGTTAATGCCTGATGCTTCTGCCCCTAAAATGCTTCTTTTTTTTTTTTTCCGTTCCAGCCCTAACTCAGGCACAATAATTTTTTTGCTGGTTCAGAACAAAAGTTGCTAATGGGCTTCTCTGTTGGTCCTTCCTTTCTGCCACTAGATCTTTCTGTGCGTATAGTCAAACTTGAGTATAGGTCTTACCTGTCTATCCACTTTCACCTACTCCCCATCGCTGCAGGAGCTGCTCCTTACCACCTGACACAACTCCCTTCTTCTGTTCTTCTCTCCTACCCCTCTGCTCCCGGGCACGCGTCCATACATAGCTTTAGCTACTACTAAAAACCTTCCGATATACCACACATGTCCATCTAAACTTTTTCTCTTTTGATCCTCATCACTTAAGGCTCATTTTCCTGTCTTCACACCCTCCCCCTTCTGGAGGTATTGTAAACATTCTTTCGTCTGTGTCCTCTCCTAGCACAATTTTATTCTCTTTCACTGTCCCTGGGTATACCCCATTATGGTTAATTGTCTATGTGAGGCTTTCTCGGGCTACATTATGAATTTCTCAAGAGAAAGCCTTGTTTCCATCTCTTGTTTAAAAAAAAGTCCCTGTTCAGTGTTTGGGATTTAATAATCGCCCTATCAATATGTGCTGAAGGGGGGATGTGCTGAAATGTGTGCACGTTCTCATGGGTGCAGTTACTGTGCCTATGGGGAAGTAAAGATTAGAATAAAGCAAAAAGTTCCTTGGCCAGTGTTTTCCTTGAAAGCAAGGGGTTTAAATTTATGGCAGACATGGGAATTACTCTGAAAAGTCAGAGAATAGTGAATGGCAGTATCACCTGCAAATTACTGTTTAAACAAGACCCACTGTGGCATTGTCTCTGGCATTTGTTATCAATTTATTGTATTGATGATTTTTTAAATAAGAGCCACTCTCTGTCCAGGGTGGCATTGAATTGATTGGTTAGCACGTATTAACTGGTTACTATGACTTGGTTGGCAGTAAGGTGAAATTTACTCAACGAAATGCATACTCAAAAAACGTGTCATCTCCTTGTTAAAACAGAGGTGGAAAGAGAACTTTAGTAAAGTACTAGATGTCATGATAAGACACATTGTAAGAAAGAAAAGAGAAACATGGAGCAAGAGAAAATCACGATGGCCTGGAGAATTAATGAAATGCCTTATTGAGGAAAACTTATTCCACTGGCTCTTGAAAAATAAATAAGGAATACATGAGGGAGAAGGAGAAATTCCGTACAAAGAGAGTAACGTGGTCGACGGACGGATGATCGCTGTTCTGCCAGCCAAAACTCAGCTGGGGATTTTAGCAAACGTCTCTACTGTTACCGTTTACGAATTGGAGGCTATTTCATTCCACGTTGTTTTCTATCTCACAGGCGGATCGGACATCGAATATCTAGACCTCTATAAGCCTGTCGTGTGGTTCTGGATCCTCGTGGGGCTCGCTTACTTCGCCGCCGTCCTGAGCATGATCGGGGACTGGCTCCGAGTGATCTCGAAAAAGACGAAGGAAGAGGTGAGAACTCAGAAGCTTGCACAAAACACTTCTATTTCGCTAATATAATAAAAATGAAAAAAAACACCTTTTTTTACATTTATTTAAAAAAATATTTGTTTCACATAAATTTGTTGTACAAGGCTATCCTATAAGTTATCATTCATTCCCTTACAAATACTAAACACTTCAATGTTCCAGATGCTACCTAGGTGCTTAGGGTGATTTGTAATAAAAGAGGTGTAATTAAAAATTTTTCATTACATCTTTTTTGTTTTCCTTTTTTCCTTAAAGGAACAAAGTAAATTTTATTCCATAAAGGAAAGTACAATAGGAAATATTTGTGTCAACATATTTGTAGCATGAAAAAGTGAATATATTATATAATATTAATTTTTTCCTATTTTAGTCACTTTATTTCCTTTTTTGTTGTATCTGTATAAATAATATAAACGTGTTCTAGTCCCAATGTGCACACACACATATGTGCCCCAGAGCTGTGTGCGTTGGCCAATTTCTTTATATATGAATTTCAGCTGCTCAAAAAGAGATCCTTTTACCTATTTTGAACAACTGTATATATAGAAATGAACATTAGAATTTTGGCTCATGACATTTTGGAAAATTTAAATCCAATTTAGAAATTGTATAGTTTGAGACAGAGAAAGAGAGAAAAATCGTGGTTATTTTTGCTACAATGTATTTTCAATGTACTTTTAAGAATCTTAAGATGCTAAGGGAAAGAAGAGATTGTAAATAGGAACTATTTTTGATGACATAGCTAAGAAGAGAACTTCTCAAACATCTAGCCATAAATTGGCTTCCTTTGAAATGGTTTCTAAAAAACACACACTTGCATTTTTAGAAAAAATAAAACAACTGCGCAGAATATATGTCTTATAGTTAAGAAAAGCGTTATTTTGTGAAATATATTGCACACATATTATAAACATACTATACATTATATGCATGCATGCATATGTACATACTAATATTGTGGATGGATCACAGTTAGAAAGCCACTAAGGAATGTATAGAATGGGGAAATTTTATCTTTATTATGTTGGTATATTTAATTAAATATTAAAGAATATTTAATTAAAGTTTTAAAAGCTGTATGTTAGAAACCAGTGCTTCTGGGAATGGGACTCTCTGGTGCAAAGCATTAGCGCACTTTTCTGGAGTAATGCGATAACCATCTGTACAAGTGCTCGGGCTGCCATCACAAGACCCCGCAGACTATGCAGCACAAACAACAGAAATGTGTTTTCTCCCAGTTGAGGAGGCTGGGGGGCCAGCAGCGATGGGGTCTGGGAGGTCTCTCCTCAGCTTGCAGATGTTGCCTTCTTTCTGTGTCCTCATGTGGCCTTTCCTGTGTGCACGCGCAAGGACAGAGAGAGCTCTGGTGGCTTTCCTCCTCCTCTGAGGACACCACGCGGTTGGACCAGAGCCACACCCTTCTGACCTCATTTAACCTTAACCGCCTGCCTTAAGGCCTTATCTCCAGACACAATCACGTTGAGGGTCAGGGCTTCAACATATGGATTTGTGGAGAATACAGCTCAGGCCATAGCACCATTCTTTGAAATAAACTTAAACATCTACATTGATTGGTTTATTTAATAGGAAAAACAGGTTTGTGTGTCTCCTGAGGACTGATCTTCATGATTCTCAACCAAAAGTATGAGATGTATCATTGTGTTTTCATGCTTTCAAATGCTGAAAAGTAGTAAACTATTTTCTTTTTGGGCTTCTGCCTAGCCTTGGGAGTAACGTGTTCTTTCTGGTGACCACATCTGTAGGAAGCTCATGTGAGTGAAGGCCATGAGCAAGTTCATGTGAACCCTCTGGAGCTGCAGCTGCTGCAGACAGCCGAGCCAGTTGAAGTGGAGCTGTCACTCTGAGCAGATGTGTGCTTTCTAATTGAAGATGCAGTTTAGGGAAGTGACAAAATCAGGTCACACATTCAATGGAAAACGTGAAGAAAGGAAGGGAAAGATCACCTATAATTTATCTATAGATAGATAATCAGGATCAAAGTCTTTACAGATGAAATGCTACTAGAATTTCTACAGCACTGGAAAAAAGATTAGATCATTCTCATTTTGGAATAGCTGACGAAAAGGCCCAATGAAATAAACACCAACTAAATTCATTCTAGTTGGCGTCTTTACCTGGGTGAGCCAGGCCAGGGGAAGGTTCAGTATATATTCTTTACCGTCTAAGTCATTCCAGATACTCCAGCTTGCAAACACTTCCTAAGTGTTCAGAAGCAACAAGGTTATTTCTAGTTTTCAGTTTTGATGGATGAAAATGCTAAACAATTTCGATAACTTGGAATCTGCCCCATTAAAAAATGTGACTAGTACAGAATATAAAAAACACAAACTAATATATAGCATCAGCTTTCCAGTGGAAAGCACTAAAACCCATGCTTTCCTTGAATAAAAAGATTTTGACAAATAATAAACTCCAATCTTACATATTTTTAAACAAATAATCTTATAACAATTCATATGGTTCTATTACATTTTAAAAACAGATATGATATATTGCTTAATTAGAAACATATCGCTCTAATCATATGTGGTCCTATTTCTGTTATGTTAAAATATATTCTATTTCTGACGAACACTAATTTTAATGAAAGTACTATGTTTAGGATTAAAGAGAAATAGCTTTTAATGGACATGCTGAAATAAAACATGTTGGTATGGCTAATCCGTCTGGACTATTTAAAGAGGAGATGGTTAGTTGGCACAACCCTGCATGATTTCAGAAATGTCACATATGATTATAGTTGATGTGCATTCCTCAAGGAAAATAGAATGACCTCAGTCATTTTTCCATGGAGGCCTACAACTTTCTGTAAAAGTGTTTGTCTCATTATTTTTAAAGCTGTAATGGAGAGTAGGTCCATGTGTCACACTAAAAACTGATACGATTATCTTTTTCTATGAAGCCGTACACCCTCTTCTGAAGGACCAAGGTTTTCATTTAGAAAATAAAGATTATTTAGGTATTCTAGATAATACAAGAATATATCTGAGGCAGGTGTAATAAAAATAAGATGTGATCACAACATTCAGAAGGTAAATTCCTAAGCAAGCAGGGAACAGTGCATCCTGCGTATGTGCAAACCTGGATCAGTTTGCTACTGCTTACATTCCTCGAGTGGGAAAGGCCTGGATTTTCGTCTAGTTCTTGTAGTTTTGTAGATGTACCACAGAGTTTGGAATGTTCCTGTCCATCTGTGAGGCGGACACCACCGCTGCCCCTACCACAGCATGGCCGCGTGGTGGTGCTACAGTTGGCCACAGCGAGCGGATGGCCATGCATCAGTCCTTAACCAGTATCGTTTCCTTAGTCTGGAGGCGTCCACACAAATGCAGATGCTCTCTAGGAGATAGACCTCGCATCACATTAGGGAAACTCCCTTTGGCTGGGAAGCTCTAGTGCCAAGAAGCCTTGAAAGACTGTTTCTAGAACTTCTTATTTGGCCCCAGCATCATGAAGAGCCTGAGAATATGGAGGGATGTAGTTTTCTTCTGCTGGTTACCTGGTGAGAGAGCCTTTGGTCTTCTCCAAAGGTCATGCCTTTCCATGACAAAGCTAGTGCTGGGAGGCTCTTGATCTTGTCTGGCGATGGGCAATCATGGAACAGTCGCAGCCTGGGCCCTGGAAAGTCTGTAGTACAGTGCTTTATCATTGTGTCTTATGGGAGAAGTGCTTTACATAGGAATGGCTTTAGATGCCATTTGAAATAAGACTTTATTCTGAGAACCTTAAGGAGCCATTGAAGGGTTTCAAGTCGGGGGAATGAATGATCTTGTCCACAGCAAGGAAGGTGGCTTAGTTGGGAGAAATTATTGCCTAGAATAGGGGTCTATTATCTTGTTACAGTGGGACAGAGCTGAAGGCAGAGATTTCAGAATTGTTTGGGGGATAGAAAGGATAGGGTCTGGTAACCCAGTAGGTGTGGGCAGTCCAAAGAAAGCGGGGATGACATTTGTGATTCTTGCTTTGGGTGGTATTATAAAACCCAGGAAAATGAGGGGTCCTGAGTAGGTGGGAGGAGGATTGAAAGTGTCATTTTGGACATGTTTTCATTGATAGATGTGTGGCTAATTCAAGTGTGGATGACTGGGTATGCCAGCCTGGAAGGTTGGGAGGATGGGAGCTAGGGAGCCGGTTGGAGGGCGGGGGGGCCCTGGGTGACCGTGACGTACGTGGCAATGGGAGCTGCGACTACAGACCAGTTCACCGAATGAAGGTTTGTAAAGTAAGTCGGCAAAAGAGCTAAAAATGGATCCCAGAGCAACACCTTCATTTAAGAGGGTGAATGTAGAGACTATAAAAGTCTGTTTAGCAAATAACATAGTCAAATAGATTGATTCATGATTGATTCATGTTGGAAGGTCAAAGGAGTTGAGGTCTTGAAGAAAAGACGGTTACAGTAATGGATCTGAATGACCAGGGGGGAAGAAATGGAACCCAAGGAAAGGCCGACACAACAACATAAAATGGAGAAACAGTGCAATTAGAATTTCCAATGAGGTCGCGCTCCAGGGATGCCACTTCCGCAGAAACAAATGTAAAGTTGCCGCCCTGGAATTGTGCGGAGGAGTGGGCACATCCGAAGGTACTTCTCTGGGCAGGCACGTCAAGCACAGTCCCCAAGGGCAGCACTGATGGTATATTTTTTGGAATGGGAGCTCTTGGAGCACAGATAATGGAAAACTGTGAACAGTGCCTCCTGGAGTGGTGCAGTGTAGCAGCCCCGATCCTGGGCACTGTGGGCATGCATACGTGGTAAATGTGGATGGTGGGCAGCAGGGCTGGAGGCGTGAGCTGTGGAGGGACAGTGTCAAAGCAGCAGGAAAGGGAGAAGTCTGGAGGCATGGAGACCAGTTAGGGGATTATTTAAAGGGGTTAATTCATTCCGAAGTCATTCACTTACTCATTCATTAGGAAGATACTAAGGACTCTGTGATGAGCACCCTGTCAGGCTCTGGGAGCAG